CCGAAACTCATGGAAAAAGTCTTCCCAAGTTTAGGGCTTTATTCTGGGTCCTCCCTAGGGCAAGCCGATAACAAAATCTCTCCATCACCTGGCTCTCGGATGTTTGTGATCCTGCACGGACTCGCTGCTGTGCATGCTGTGCTTGCTAGTAAGCGCCTGCAGAATGGGGAGTTTATTCTGAGCCTTTATTAAAAAGCGAAGAAGAAAAAAAAAAAAAAAAGAGAGAAAAGGAAAAGCAGCATGCCCGAGTTTCTCATGCGGGAATACTAACGCACGTACTATTTCTAGAACACGCAAGTCCTCTGCTCATTCACGGGGAGTCAGCCTGCTATGGTAAGAGTTCCACCCACATTGCCTCCGCCTGATTGAGACTATCAAGACGGCGTCGGAAAGCACCCCGTGCGATCTGCCGTTACATAATGCAGCTCAGCTCCAGAGAACTGGCAGAATTTTGGAATTTGTATTTGGTCCTAATGTTCTGTACCGAGTTGGCAAGTGAGATTCCTGCTCCGAATGAATGACAGTTGGAGCTTCGAAGCAGGAACATTTGCCCACCAAAGTTGCTGAACTCGCCCACTGCCAAGCCTGTCACGAAATTAGCAGATAGGCAGGGACAGCAGGACACAGTACGAACTGTGTCGCACTCCTGTGCGCCGTCGGGTCCTGATCCTGCGCGGGAGGACCGCCTGCCTGCCTGCGAGATGGAGGAAGGCCACGCTTCTCGGTTTTAGGGTTTTATGTCCCTTTCTGCAGCAACCTTCTAAGCATCTCACATGCTCAAACGGGAGGGAGGATCGCACTGTTTCTCAGGCAGAGAGCTGAGGTGTGAGGAAAGGGGCAGACACATTTTGGCAGTTTTAAATGTTAAACTAATTTTTACAGTGTAAATGTTCTCACCTGGGCACTCTGCCCTGCTGCTGCAGGTTACTGCCCCTGCCCCAGGATGGCAGAGTGGGATGGGTGCCCACTTCTGCCCTCAGCTGCTCCAGGACATTAGCTGGAGTCTCAGGGCTCTGGTTCCCGTGGGATTGAGGCAGGATGGCCGCTCAGCTAACGAGGCAGACCCTTCCCCGAGGTCAGCTTCCCCTTGTAGGCAGCCCAAAACCCACCATGGCCCTGGTTTCAGCGCATACCTTGGAGTTTGCCCACACGCAGCAGAAATACGGGTCCACGTTTCCTTGGGCTGACTTTGCTCTGGGGCTGGGGAGCCCGTAGCCAAAGAGCAGCTGCTAAGATGGCTGGGGATGACAGCAGCTCAAACTGCTGCAGCAGGACTGCGGGGCATCCTCTGCGGCGTGGGCAAGGGAAGGTTGTGGAAGAGCAGGAGGCGATGCGCGAGTTTGTGCGAATCCTCAGAGAATCACTGGGCTGTCTTTCGGTGCTGGCCCAGGTTTGTTTTCACCTGCCCTTCTAATCTACTAGCATTTCTAGGCATTAGCAGTCAGTATTTGAGCATTTCTAACTGTTTTTACCTGCCACGTTCGCCAGCTTCATTAGGATAATTGAGCGAAGTGACACCACTGTGTAACAGGTACAGAGAAGGCTGAAGACACTGTGTCAGAGAGGTGCTGCGGCTGCGCTGGAAGCAGGGAGTAGAGGGGACGATGCAGGAGGAGCAGGGCCTGGGGCACGGCAGGGGGCATTGCCCTTGCTCCCACAGCTCTCCTGAAGTGCTCTCCCTCC